AAGATATCTGTTGCTTGTGCCGAGAGAGGAGAACAGATTATCACGAAAGAAACCAAGGGTAAAGAGGGTCTAGAAGTGTACGGAATGTTGAAGGGAGGAATAGGGTTCAAGGACTACCTACATGGACCAATGGATACAGGAACAAAGCTTAAGNGGACGGTAGACGAGGAAGACGACGAGTTCAAATGTGATTGCGGCTTCGAATGCGAAGACCGTGTTCATGTAGTCGCGGAATGTCCGTTGTACAAGAAGGAGAGGGAAGTGTACGTGACTGAGCTGGGAAAAATAGATGGAACGTACAGGGAGATGTTTGAGGCATGGAATAGAGAGGAAAGGACGGTAGCTGTAGTGGGGCATAGGAGGTGGGTTGAAAAGGCGGGAAGGGATATCGTTAGGATAGACAGACAAGGGAAGACATTATTGAGCCACCTTTGGCAAAGTAGAAAGGAACGATTGACCATCGGAGATCGATCCTGTGGGAACAATGCTTCGTCCTCTCGAGGACGCGTGGTCAATGGTCTATCCGCTAAGGCATGCAAAACATAAGAGTACGCCCCCCCCCCCGGTGTTTGCCATCGGGGTCGGGTTTTCGTCGCGTGGCAGCGAGGTTGTAAAACAAGCCGATCATTTCGTGAGCTCAGCAACCAGGTTACAGCTTTTTTTTTGCCTTCGTTTTTTTTGGCGGTAGCCATGAATGGTGGTCGAGTAGATTATCAGAAAGTAAACATAACCTCACCGACAGACTACCCGTTCGAGATATAACCTCAGTCGAAAGGGATTTGGTGAAGTCGTTTCAGTAAGTGGATTGAAACCAACTGGAGACTTGGCTTATTTTTAGCTTGTGTAAGCCTAACACTGACCGCTATATATGATATCCCCAAGTCTTAAATCATTGGCTTGTGAAGCCAGAGCGACAGTGATGATGTCATCAATGTATCGTTTTGTCCTATGTTGTGCGTGGTCTAGAACCCTCACTCGGCGCAAGGGGGTTAATCGCACGTTATGTTGAATTGGTCAAGCACCCTCGAGACAGTTACACAGTGCTTACAACTGTCTCCGGAAGTGAAAGCGCAACAGAAAATAAATTCAGTCATACGCGGCTGTCATCCGTACGCAAGGAAGTAAGCACAAGATGCCGAACACCCTTAGCAGGATTCAGCGCACCCTTCATGCGACTCGCCGAATTCCTCACGGCGCTCCGCGCTTGGTGATGTGAGAGCCAGGTCCGGTCAGAACCCGGCGTGCTCCATCCTGGCTTGGTAGGGATGCGAGGTCAATGGTCTAACGACTACGGCATCACGGTATGCCGCGAACGATGCTGCTGTAATGGAGTATACCGATAGTCTGAAGTAGATGCTCCCGCAGAGATGGCATGTTGATTTTCACCTTCAAGCGCAAGGACGCTGATGGCTGCAAATTCGTTTCTACAGTAGAGCGTGGCTGCTGTGAATCTTTCATCTTGAGAATGAGAGCACCTCGAGACCTCGAGACGTGTAGCTTGTCGCGCATCCGTACCTTAACGTAAATTCCGTAAGATACCATCCCCCCCTGGGACCGATGTTCAATGTCCGATTACTCTGCAGCAAGATCAGTGAAGGCGCCGAACAGAGCTAGCCGTCCGAAAACGTATCCTTTGATTTCTAGCGTCTTCGTGGAAAAGTCGAGCTTTGATCATGTGAATAAGGGGTGTGGTATATTACGCCACCTATCCACCTGTTGTCTGATCTCGCTTCCCTAGCAGACCTCGAGAGGCAATCGTGCAACCCACTGGCAGCAGTCTGAGCTCCACCATCATGCCACCCAGTAGTATCTAACGTATAACCAAGCGCCTGCACACTGCCCGTCGTCAGTTGGCTACGACGCCGAAGCGTGCATGCTCGAGATGTACCCGGTGTCGTAGCTCCTGACAGGAGTTGCAGAACGCTGCGCGTGTCCTACCCATCATCCGCCCTGACTGCTGACGGCACAGGCGCTATTTTCTCGGCGACGGTTGCAGATGGTCTTGAGACAGAGTACAAGTTTTTGTTGTGTGAATGTCCGTCCCATGTATTCTGGGCGCCAGTCCACACGATTCGGAATACCTCCGGGTATATGTTTGGCGCACCCGCCGGGGTCACACACGAGGAAAAAGTCAGCACTAGAGTTGCTGTATTGTTTTGCCCTACGTTCCCCCCGACGACTGTCCTTGACTTTAATTTTTAAAGCGAAAAGGGTTCAGCAGTTTCCTCCTTATTGTTGTGTTTGCTCACCACTAACTATGCGTTTTCCACGTCTAGATGGCGACATTTGCGCTCCAGATAGATTCGAATCCGCAATGAGAGGTGAATGTGGCAACCGTTTTCCACGTCTAGATGGCGACATTTGCACTCCAGATAGATTCGAATCCGCAATGAGAGGTGAATGTGGCAATCGCGCTAGTTATAGGCTACGGTACTTGATAGAAATTGCTGGACGAGGGTTCGTGCCTCACCAACAGAACTAGGCGAATATACCAACTTCTCCTTTGCCCCCGGTCCTTTCCCGCCGCAATGTGTGCTCGCTTGGGCTCACGTGTGACCGATCTGTCGCTACAGTCACGAACAACGGTAACGAGAAAGACAACGATGACGACGACGACGACGATGACTGCAACAACATTGTCATGGTCATGATCATTATCATCATTTTATTTTAACACCAGGTCAACCCGGAGGCGGTGAATCAGTTGCGGCTGCCGGTCAACATCATCCACGGCACTGTCAAGAAGCTTGAGGTATTAAGCCGTGGCACACCCGTACGGCGGCCATCTCCGATGGAACATGTTTATGGCAGAAGAGGGCAGCTCAACCGCCATAGGAAGAGGTTGTTGTCATTTGCTGTCGCTGTTGTTGTTTCTACTGCACCCGCTATTCCTTAGGTCATTTGATTGATATATCTACCAGATGTTTGACGTGTTGCGATCCTTGTTTTTTGTTGCTCTGAATAACGCCCGCATTTAACCATCATGTTGATCTCTGTGTAGGTGGATGCATGAGTCCAGCAACGAATTCGCGCGAGGCGTCAATGGGATACGAACTCTTGTCTACCCCCCCCACCCACCCACCCCCCAACCAATCCACCATCGGAACAGCGCCCTCCAAAAAAAACATCCACACGCGCAGCTTGAGTCCCTCCCGCTATCCCCCCCGGGCAGGTGGATATCCCGTGGGCACACCTGGGAAGCAGGCCAGTCAAGGTTCTCCTGCAAGGCGTTTGCGTGTTGGTGGGTCCAGTGGATCGGAACTCTTGGGGGGACCTCGAGGTGCGAGAGAGGCGGCTCGGCATCAAGAGGGCCGCCCTCGAGAAGGCGGAGAAGGAGGAGGAGGAGAAGCGCAAGCACGGGGGAAAAGGGAGCGACGAGGAAAAGGTGTATTCCCTCGGGAGGAATGTTGGGGTTGGCGCTTGGAGATGACCGGCCTTCGTAGAGGGCATGGATAATCATGCAAGCGGTCAGCCGATTCATAGGATTGCGTGTGCGTGTCAGAAAGACAAGGGGGAGGTCAATGACAAGGTGTGTTTCGGTCTGCTTGTCGGGTGCGTGTAGAGGGTGGACACAAGCAGACTTTGGAACGGTACGTTGGGTCAGGTTCGGATGCTCCAAGGAGGGGGTGAAGGCAAGCGAGCGGCGACGAAGGGGGAAGTATGTCGGAAGTCCCAGAAGCTGTGGAGCTGGGAAGAGGCGAGAGTAGATAGCTTGTTTTGACCCGCGGCTGGTGCTGACTTTGCAAGGTGCGTGCTAAAGGTTAAGGTTGACCTGCGCGACAAGAGTAATTTCGTGAATCGCATGGAGTCAGTGTCACGAAATGATTTGAGGTGCATGCATGATACAGCAGTTTTCGTTTAGTTGAGGAGTCGCGTTGCTCTTGGCTGGTGTGTGCGCTCTCCTCCAATCGGCGGGCGTCGTGATGCCGCTGGTTTGGACGTGATTATTACGTCGTCGAAACAGTCTTTGCCAGAATGCCCTTGTGACTTGCACGACGTAGATGACACAGCAGTGATCGATCGATGCGGTATACATCTCGGGTTGAAGCGCTAAGCCAGTTCATACCAACCCTCCCGCTCGAACGGGCGACGTTGATTGGTCTGTCCATGCAAAAGGGATTCGTGGACAAGCTGGTGCAGCGAATCGTCGACAACATCGAGATCAACGTGGCCGACATCCACATCAGGTATCTAACTTCATCTCTCATTTCCTCCCCGCCACGCCGACAGCAGTTTGAGGCAAATTCCACTCACTCGGCGTGCCATCTCGTAACGCTGTGTTCGATCAGTTGGTTGAATTAGGTTCGACTCAAGTAGGGTCCCTCGGTAGCCGATGCCGTCTTCGTTGTAAAACCTCCACCATTTTTCTGCATAACCAGCGAAGCCGTTTCAACTCAAAAACCACGCGTATCAGGTTTCTTTCAAATCCGAGAGTAAATGACGAGGTTGAGTATTACTACCAGCATGAACATGGACGTAGTATACAAAAAAATTGCGAGATATTTGAGGACTTCGTAGGCCTCCTGCTCCAATCTGTCGTAAGGATAGTGACGACATCGATGACGTGTACAACGGTTCGTCGTCAGGTACGAGGACACGGTGCTGGTGCCGGGGCAGACTGTGTCGGCAGGGGTGTGCCTGGAGTCGTTCGTGGTCACCACCACCGACGAGGACTTCGTGCGGCAGTTCGTTGACCGCACGGGTTCGGGAGGCCAGCACACTAAGGTGCGTGCTTGCCTTGTAGCGACGTCGGCAGTAGAGGCCGCGGAGAGACCATTACCTCGTGCGTGGGACCTCTGAAACATTTGAAGTGGGACATCTAGGAACCCAAGAGCCATCAAGTGATAACATGTATTAATAGGCCAATGGAAGGATAAGAAATACTATCAGTCAGGGTAGTAGGCGGGAGGGCCGCCGTGCGTCGTGGTGTTGGACCGACGAAGCAGCGGCGAACAAGGTTAGCGTCAAGACTGTGTCCACGACGACCAGCACACCAAGATGTGGGAATGGCAATTCGCGGGGAGAAGTACGCCCAACTTAATTGTGTCCATCCTTTGGCAGGTCTATCGGCCGTTTGTTCGAAGCACGATGCCTCCCTTTGTCCATCTCACTGCAGCAGCGCTATACGTCATTGGGTCTAAACACCTTGCCTTTTTCAGCCCAATTCAAACGCGTTCTTCTGTGCTCTCGTGGCCGGGCGGGGTCAGGTACATAAGATGGCCCGTGTGGAAGGCTTCTCGGTGTACTGGCGAATCGACGACAAGGAGAGGTGAGCCACACCGAACTTGGCTTGGGGTTGTGTTGTGTGTTTTTTGTGTAACGTTGCTGTCCACAGATGGTGGTGGAAGGGACGGTTCTTGCTGCCTGTTTAATGGTTTGTTTGCGAACGCTTCATTTTGAAACCGTTTTTTTTTTGCGCCTTTTGTTGCACGCGTTTCACAAATGACAGGTTCGCGTTGCTTCCCACGGAAAGGAGGAGCAGTGAGCTTAGGGAGTTCGTGGCGCAGCAGTCGGTAGCCCCGACGGGGGACAGCGGGGGCGGGTTGGAGAGGGGAGACCTGATTCGTCCGACCGGCGCCGTTCTCAAGTTCATCCACTCCGACGACCCTGATGACAAGACGGGGCCCAAGTTCGAGGCTTCGTTTGAGGTGAGTCGCTTTTTGTTGGGTGTGGGAGGTGGTTATTCGCCCTTCTGGGCGATCTTGCCCCTCGTGTGGGCTCGTGTCGTGTCTTCATTTCGGTGTGACCGGAATGGCAAAGTTTTTGTATTTTGACTTCGGGTAGGTCGTCCCGTGCTCGTTGAGCCCACTCACAGCGGCTGTGGCCGTCGCAACAGAGGGGGCGACGTGGGTGCGAAACGCCCAGGCTTTTAACTGCTCGATTGTACACAGACACCCGTCCTTTTCGTTATGTCTTGCATTGTGTTGGATTTTTTTCGTTTCGTGAACTAGATCTGAGCAGGATGTGGCGGCCGCCCGATGCTGATGACAGGCACGCGCTGTTAAAGTAGTTTCGCCAGCAAAAAGCGACAAGCCCTTGATGACGTCGAAGTCAAGGCTTGATTTCGAGCTCGCAGTTTGAGGCGGGGGCAAGCGCCGCCTGCGATATGCCGTCGATTCTCTCTATTTTTTTTGTAGGTTCTCGCCGTTTCATGCGGATGATGGTTTGTGCAAGGTTCGGAACCGTTGTCGCGATGACATGGAAGACACGCACTGAAGAAGTTGACGAGGGCGTCAGGAGGGCCCTAGGTTGTGTGTGACCCACACCTTGCTCAACCTAGAGTTTCTCAACGGAAGAGTGCCTAGGCTTGCGAGTAGAGTACACCTTACAAGATCAAAGTGTCTGAGGATGGATCTGGCGCCGTTCCGCCTTGGACGATGTCCACCGTGATGATGATGCCTTCTCATCGTTCGTTTCGTGCTGCATCAGATGGACGACGTCAAGATGGACTTCCGCGCGGAGCAGTATGAACAGGCGCTCTCCCTGAAGGACTCCGCAGCGGCCCTCGCCAACTGGCAGATGTTCTTCCCCTACCGCCCGAAGACTACCCCGAAGCAGGACCCTAGGGCTTGGTGGAGGTGTGCATGGCAGAACACGCCGGGGCGATAGCGTGGCGATACGCTCGTACTGCTGTACGGCCACAGCAGCAGTTAGTCATAACGGGAGCAACGCCGTACACAGTAGTGGCCAATCCACAGCAGGAGTGTTGATATTGACAATTGAACAGTATGCACTGCCCATCACGGTGCATTCCAGCAAACGCAACACACTACGAACGTTACAAGGGTGCATTGTAGTCCAAGACGTTACACGGCAGTACGCGCGCGTACAGCAGCACAAAATCACCAAAAGTGTTAGCAAAACAGCAGAGAACAGAGTAGTGGAGGGCGGAACAATAGTCCGGGAGGAAACGGCACAACCGCTGTCCAATTCGGCACAGACGATGCGCGATCAGCAGGGCAAATCTGTGCGATGAGTACAACAATGTGTAAATCACTTGTAGGGAGCGACAACAAACGTGAAATGAGCACCCCTCTCCCACCCGCTCTTGCCCTGCAATATGTTGTATCTTTCAGGTATGCGTTCGTGTGCGTCAGGGGAAAGCCAGACGGCTGGACGAACTTGAACAAGGTCAGAGCGTGCACTATGCGTGCGTGGTCGTATGTACCTTGTCACTGGCCGACACACTAGCAGATGAGGGTCATTTTTTCTACAACACATAATAAAGCACGTTTGTTGTCTGTCCGTTAGCTGATGTTATCGTTTGCGATGGTATTTCCGCATGTAGGTGACCATTTAACCCTTAGGTGACTACAGGCCGATTCAGCTTTGTTCTCAGCTCCGATCACTTTGCGTGCCGAAAGATCGCCGTTGTACCTCGGCTAAGAGCAAAAAACATGCATAAGAGACCATTAGAGAGACACAGGCAGCCCACCCCCAAAGAACGCTTATCAGCAATGCGCACAGGACTCACATAGTACAATACTATTCACCATGCCTAATCTCTCTGACGTGGGGCAGATATCCTTTCCAGATCCACTCCACTGCTTACCGGTACTGGAAGATTTAAACACAAAATACCACCGTAGGGTACATACAGCACCCGAACATGTGATCAACCCGGTGCCGCATCCGCGGGGGGGAGCAGCGAAAGCGCACACTGGAGCCGATGCTAACGTACTGCCTCGGTGCTTGATGTTGTTGTGATTGCCGTGCGTGTGGTTCCCAGTATTAGGAGTGAAGGGTGGTTCGTCTGCTGTGTGCAAAATTTCGCTCAAAGGCAAGGGTCTTCGGGACTATAGCTCCGATCACAGCTCTGAGCACATTTCTCTATTTGTAGTACGGAATAGTAAAATAGTATCACGATTTTTAAGCATTTTGCGCGATAGTGGATGATGGTGTCGATTCTCTAATGAGCGGGCCGTATTTTCGTCGATCTGGCGCTTCTGTGAGGCGGTTTCCCGTCAGCGTCTTCGCATCTAGCGCCGCTAGCATATGCGCTTGCCGTATGCTCTGTCCAAGGATGAGGTGGAGAAGATGTGCCAACAGGTATTGCTTGCACAGGTACATCCTCTGTGCGAACGGTTGCTGACGGAGGCAGGCATGCACACCTCCTCAGAAACTACTGCTGCTGCTGAACAGTCCATTTCTCTCCGCATAGCTGCTACTGCTGCACAGCAGTGGTACCACTGTACTCCTGTTCGTCACCCTTACATGTACCGCGTGCCCATCCCTGTGAGCCCCACACATGGACCCACTGCTACACCATCCTTCGCCGTGATACATGGGTGTACACGCATGCTTGGAAGATCTTTGACCGCAGAGAGCCAGTTGCTGGGAAAAAAAAGAAATAATAACCCAGTCACGTAAGGGTTAAGAAGATATTTCTTTCGTCTCGTCTCTCCCTCTGTCTCGTCCCTCCCCTCTCTGCAAACTACCGCTTCAGTCGAAAACCCTTCCCAAGATACCCCCTCAATCTGCGTCGCCCGCAACAACAAACTAAACCTCCACAATATCAGGTACTCCTGTCGAGGAAAGAGTACCTTCATCTGTTCGAGAAGATGACTGCCGCTACGAACAAGCACGGAAAGTCGTCGTCCAAGCGGCATCTGTCGCCGCTCACCGAGCAGGAGCAGCGCAGGCTTGACGAGCTCGAGGAGGAGCTGCCCCTGCAGGCCATCGTCATGTTCCGGACAATGGCGAGGAAAGAGGTGCGTCCGCGTTTGTTGCCGTCCTCTGCTGGGTATTGTGGTTTACTTTTTTGGTGGTCTGCTTCATCGAACAAACCACGGCTTGTATACCAGGAACCGAGTGTCTTCGTCTTGGGGATGTTGTCGTTTGTGCATTTTCATGTTTTTTTGCCCGGAACACTGCCGCATGTCGCACCCATCAGCTGCCGTAGCAATAGAAAATGCTACACCACGCCGAAAGCATGCACGTACCTTGGCGCCAAACGATTCTGTAGCTCAAGCGCAAGCGAGATGAAGAGAAGGCCAAACGAGGGGAAAACGACAAGGAGAGTGATGACAAGAAGGGCGGTGGATGGTGGAGCAACCTTTGGGGAGGCGACGGTGGCGACGATACCCCCGTGGAGGAAGAGGGCGACGTGGCGATCAAGGACCTCTCGGAGGGCATCGACGACGACGCGGAATCCAAGAAGGTGAGAATGGAAGGGAGGCAGAGACACATGTACGGGCGAACGAAAGGGGGGGAGGGGAGCAACGTCAGACCCTCCTACTACGCAAGCCCTGGTTGTGTTTAGCGCACTTTGAAAACTGACTGGGGCTGACAGATCAGCTGTCGCGTCCGCCACTGTAACGTATTACGGGAAGTGGCCTCATCGGCGTTTGTGGGGGTACAATGTGTCGAAGTTGTTGAGCCCCCAATCAGGCATGTTGCCACAATGGTATGCCCAAACGCTCCCGGTTTTGACGCAGATGGAAACAAACTCCTGGAGTCAATGCCAACCCTTGTAAAGAATGCAACATCACCATGTACGATCAATGAGAACAACGCTGACAGCAGAAACGATGGCCATCCTCACCGTGTACGAACCTTTTCTTCCTCGGGGCTTGTCTGTGGCAGGTGCCCCCCGACTACCTCCAGGTGCGGCTGACCGTTCGCCCTCAAGGGTCGATGAGGCTGTACGGGCAGCGCGATCTGGCCTTGGTGGAGGCCTCGATGGCCGCCTCGGCCACCGTGGAGCTGCGGGAAGACGCCTCGATGGTGAGAAATTCACCCCAGCCCGTAGAGAGGGGAGGCCGTGCCTCCCAACCGTGGTGCAAGCCCCCAAGAAACAGCCCGAATCGCTTGTTTGTGGCAACACTATTCCGCGGTACGGGCCTCGAGTTCAAGGTGGCAAGTACGGGCCATCCATCTTGAGTGGTGAAGTTCAAGCTTGCGGTTGATGGGATCCTAATTTCATTCGCATATCTGGGATAGCCTTGAAGGGCGGTTTGGGCAGTCGTCGAGCTCATCTGTCGTTCATTTGAAGCCGACAAGAGAGGATCAACAAGTTGTGGCCGTGTTGCCTATCTTTTTTTTTTTGTCTTCACTTCAAATCAGCGCTCACAGCACTAGTGCCGTTTACTCCAACCCGTCGTCGAGCCCCTCTCCACCCTCCCCTCCTGCGGTACTTTGCCTTCGATTTTCAATGCGAGAAGAGTTCAGCACTCCCTTCCCTCTGTGTACACACGAACTAGCGCTATCCACTAGGCCAGGAGCGGAAGCGAGAGCAACACTCACTTTTCAAGAAAAGCTCGCTTACGCCGGGATACGAACCCCTGACCTGACCTCTCGAAGGCTTCAAAGATAGCAACTAGACCACCGGGGCAACCGGCTCTTGCAAACTTGTATAGCCTCTCCTGCGTTCCTCCCGTACAGGAAGCAAAAAAACAAGAAGGGATTCTACTAGCCCCAAGCATGGCGATGATCTCGATGTGCCTGTGAAGTGACAGATGACGGTGTTGAAGGAGCTGCGATAAATTCAACCGCCATCTACCTCTCCTCTTCTTCACTTTCTCGACTGGCCTGGTCTGCGAATACCGATATACTCCCTCCCATACTGCAAGGGGTGAAAGGGGTCTACTGTCTAAGTGCTATGACCATTGCATGATTTTGAGCGCCTCGCCCCCCGCCCCCCTCCCATGGCGCGCTGCGTACGCAGGCGTTCAGCTTCCGTCTTTCCCAGCTGGACGTCCTTGATCTCTTCACCCAAGGAGCGGTGTTCCCCCACATGCTCAAGGTCGGCGGCCAAGACGAGACTGCCGATAGCGATACCCCGGAACTTGTGAAGGCCAGGTCGAAGGTGAGGCAATTTTGTTCACGCGATGTGCCATCCTGTGCGTAGAGATCGCCTTTGGGATCAGTCAAAGGGGATCAAGAACTACGGCTCCGTTTCAGAGCAGACTATGCAGTGCTGGTTTGGGAACGACCGTCTACGTTTTCAGAGTGCAGGGTTTCAGGTATTTGGTCCCGCAATGCCTCTGAAGTATAGAAGGGGAGGCCAACAGTGTTCGACACTTTCGAGCTTGAGAAGGCTTTGGGTTGGCGTAGGTTTGACCACGTGCGTTGACACTGCATGACCACGGGTAAACAAAACGCCTGTAAGTATTTGGATTATCGGACGAATTGCTCTCTCGGGTGGTTGAGCTAATTATCCCTCTGAAGCTCGTACCATGTCGACCCGTGATACGCCCGGTGGTGATCCTCACCTGCTCACCTTATTTCCTTGTTAGAGAGATGGAAAGGTCTCGCTTGGCGCCGCTGTTTGCGTGTGCAGTCTATCGACCGACATTGTGAACCCTCTACCCTACAAGAGCCGATCGTTGTGGTCGTATGTGTTGCCCACAACGGTTACACCCTCCACCTGCAATGGGCGGGCTGAAGTTATTATGTTTCGTGACGGGGGCGTCCTGCACGTGTACCGTCAAGGTTGCCGCCACCGTCGCTGTTGGAGCAACTGGGGCAATCAAGACTGGGAAACCGGGCCATTCGGCGGGGCAGGAGGTGGGGGAGGGAAATATCCTGGCCTGCGTGAACGTGTCCATGACTAAGACGACGCTGGAGGTGGCCGTCTGTGCGCTGCCTACCGACGTCGCGTACAACAGGTAGGTGGCTTGTTTCTTGCCCCCCGTACCCCCGGCCCTACCCGATCTAGTGACCGGAGGGGTGGGGACGGTCCACTTCAGGTGTTGGAGGTGGTTGCATTTCGTCACGGGGGGGCGTGGGAAAAGGGAGGGAAAGCAGCGCCGCGCCGTGGCCTGCGTTTTGTGTTTGAGACGTTGGTATGATGACACTGGAAGAGTCATCATCGTGGTAGCAAATTATGTTTCAAAGGTTATCCTTCGAGATATGAAGGCTCTTCACCGCGCCGTCGACGCTATACAAATTGAAGCAGTAGATGCAAGGGGTCGCCTGTTTCAGCTCTACACACGGAAAGCACTACACGAGAAAGAACATTACTCCAGACGTTCACAAACAGTGCTCGCTCCCGTGGTTCGCTCGTCCTCCAACGGTGTGGTCTCCTGTTCGACAACGATTGCAGCTGCCCCCACGACATCCCTTTCTATTCCTCTCGCTTTGCACACGTTCAACACACGCGAGAAGAGACGCTAGTGGATATTACTATTTAAATAGGCGCGGTTTTCAGTCTTGGCAGCTAATATCTCCACCTCCACTTTCAAGAAAACGTTTTGAAACTGATGCTGCAGGATTTTCTGAAACACATTCGTTCGTCCACTCGCGGCGCGCAGGGAAGCCGTGGACGTGGTCATGAGCGTGTTCAGCGCCCGCCCGGCGGAGACGGAGGCGGCCAAGTCCAGCGCCTCTAAGGGGCTGGAGGCTGCGCAGCAGAAGAGCAAAGAGCTGGCGACCCTGGCAATCACCATCTCTGTGGACGTGGCGGCACCTAGGGTCGTCGTGCCCGTGTCATCCTCCCGGGACAACGGCTTCGTACTCCTGGATATGGGTCGCATGCTGGTCGCAGGGGGCACCGTGGATGGCGGTGGCATGGCGTACACGGCTGAGCTCAGCGACATGAACGTCAGGCTCCCCGCTAAGAAGGCGCTGCTGGTCAAGGGGACCGAAGACGCAGTCGTCGAACCGTTCAAGATCAAGGTGGACGCGGCAATGGGCGGAGGGGATTCCAAGCCTGGGATGGCGTTGGCGGTGGAGGTGATGCCCGGGGTTAAAGGCGTCATGTCCCCGGCGAAAATCCGCGGCCTGTTTCGCGTGCTGGACTACGTCACCAAGGCCGACCTAAAGGCGGAGGGTGGCCCAGGGGAACCGCCGGTGGGTCTTGCCGCACCCAACACTGCCCCAGGGGGCGGGGGGATAGGGGTCGAGCTGATGGGAGACGAAGGGCTGGTGGCGTTGGAGGGGAGCGATGGCACAGAGGAGGACGGGGACGAAGTTGCAGAGCCAGAGCCGCAGGTGGCAATGGAGCTGCACATGAAGCTCCCCACGATCGCGCTGCTGATGGTCGAAGACGATAAGGATGCCGCGAAGAAGGATAGCGGATTGCTCATGGAGGCAGCGGGTGCGAGTTTTTGTGTGCCAATGTTACCAGGAGGGGGGGGG